CACACACACACTCTCTCTCTCTCTCTCTCTCTCTCACACACACACACACACCGTCACCTCCATCATCTTCATCACTCCATCACCTTCATCATCTTCATCAGCAACATCATAGTTTTGTTTTTTTTCTTGTGTGAAGGATCTAAGGATCCTCAAATGCAAACTGTGTGTGTTTTGCTTCAAGAAACCAACCATACATTTGTCTTGTGTTTTACTTTCTTTCTTTCATATATTTATTTATTCGTCATTCATTCATTTATAATATTTTATCATTTAATCGTTTTATTATTCTATTTAATCATATAATCATTTATAAGAATAATTTTAACCATTTATATACTACAAATAATATATTTCTTTGATTCAATAATTGATCAGTCATTTGTATTATATTACAGTTTTTAATATAATTTTTCCACTGTTGTTTAGTCTCATGACTGTGGGTTTCAAGGGCTGTTTGTCTTCATGAATACGAGATAAGTGGGAATGTTTATGGAAACGCAAGGTTTATGGGATGTTGTTGTGAAGTAGTTTGGTATCACACTACTTGTTGAATTTGTGCTCATCAGAAGAAGTCTGAGCATTGAAACATACGCAACTAAGATTATTCAATAAACTCTGCTCCATTTTTATCATCATCATTTCGTCTCCTGCTTCTGCTCCTCTCTGGCTTTGCTCAGTCAACTTCTTGGCTGATAGAAGACTCTTCTGAAGACAGTTTTGGGTACCAGACATGACTTGATGTTAACAGGTTTTGGGTATTAGACAGTTTTGCTGACTAGTTGTTCTGTTACCAGACAAAACTGAGGCATGATCTAACAGGGGGGATTCTTGGGTAATTTTACATTTCAAAGCATTAGTCAATAAAACAGAGGTAAATGCAGTAATAATGTGGTAAAAACATGATAACATTCAAAACTTTGCATCATCCACCCCCATCCACACACACATCAAGAAACCAACCATACATTTGTCTTGTGTTTTACTTTCTTTCTTTCATATATTTATTTATTCGTCATTCATTCATTTATAATATTTTATCATTTAATCGTTTTATTATTCTATTTAATCATATAATCATTTATAAGAATAATTTTAACCATTTATATACTACAAATAATATATTTCTTTGATTCAATAATTGATCAGTCATTTGTATTATATTACAGTTTTTAATATAATTTTTCCACTGTTGTTTAGTCTCATGACTGTGGGTTTCAAGGGCTGTTTGTCTTCATGAATACGAGATAAGTGGGAATGTTTATGGAAACGCAAGGTTTATGGGATGTTGTTGTGAAGTAGTTTGGTATCACACTACTTGTTGAATTTGTGCTCATCAGAAGAAGTCTGAGCATTGAAACATACGCAACTAAGATTATTCAATAAACTCTGCTCCATTTTTATCATCATCATTTCGTCTCCTGCTTCTGCTCCTCTCTGGCTTTGCTCAGTCAACTTCTTGGCTGATAGAAGACTCTTCTGAAGACAGTTTTGGGTACCAGACATGACTTGATGTTAACAGGTTTTGGGTATTAGACAGTTTTGCTGACTAGTTGTTCTGTTACCAGACAAAACTGAGGCATGATCTAACAGGGGGGATTCTTGGGTAATTTTACATTTCAAAGCATTAGTCAATAAAACAGAGGTAAATGCAGTAATAATGTGGTAAAAACATGATAACATTCAAAACTTTGCATCATCCACCCCCATCCACACACACACACTCACGTTTTAGCGATGGCCACCACACTGGTGATGTTCTGGAAATCATTCGCTGTCTCCACCTTTATCTGCCACACAAACACACTTCACATGTCAAACATTACCCACAATCCATCTGGAGCAACAGAATGACGCATTCAGTGAAAACAACCTTTGAGAAAAAGTTCACTTTAGCATACTTAGAAAAAACATTATGGAAGCAATATACTTTAAAACAATACACTAATATGATAATATAAATTCTAAAATGCTGATTTGCTCCTCAAGAAACATTTCTGATTATTAGCAATGTTGAAAATACGTTATACATGGACACTGTGATACATTACCATTTAAAAGTTTCAAGTAAATAGGATTTTTTAAAATAAAAAACTAATGCTTTTGTTCATCAAGGACGCATCTAATAGATCAAAAGTGACAGTAAAGACATTTATTTCAAATAAATGCTGTTCTTTTGAACTTTCAAAGAATCCTGAAAAATCAAATGTATCAGACTTTGTAAATAAACGGTAAGATGCTCTGAGGATCAGATTAAGAGCCGCTGAATTACAGCCAGTCAGTTACACATCTGATGACTGATGAAAACAAATGAGTGATGAGATGAAGACGTGATTGTGAAACGAAAGTTCACTCTAGATTCTGGAAAACCCCATCATAACCTCCACCCAGACCTCAGAGATACTGATCTGAGATCATGAGAGGAACAGACCTCCACCCTCAACACACACACACACACACACTCACTCACACTCACTCACACACACA